AGCCACTCGTTCATCCGACAGGTCCACGTAACCACAGCAACCCCATTCATGCGTATCGAACTTGAGGTACACGGTTGTGAGGCAAAGAGCGCTGATGTCGCTGTCTTTCAACTCTACTCGCAGCTTTTCTTCCAGTCCTCTCACGGCGGTCTGAATTAGATTCACGTAAGGCTTGCCGTCTTTATAGATGTAGTCCTTGACTGAAACACTTTCCACAGCCCCGCAGGTAAACTTGCTTGGGGTAGGCATTCCCTCTGAAAAATAACGAGGGAAAAAATAAACAATATTTTATGCGCTACATTTTTCGTTGGTCTATTCTAGGATTGCTCATCGTTATGTTTACAGTCTCGTTTTTAAGTATCGCGAATTTCTCTGCATTTGGACCCCAAAAAAAAAAAAATAGGAGAACGGGCCTTAGATGAAACAAAGCTGATGTGTGTCAAAAATCTAAAGGCCTCAGTTTTGAGTTTTGTTAGCTTACCTTGTTCGTGTTGGTGTTATGTTGTTAAATTCAAATATTCATATTCAGTGCTAAGAGACAAGGGATTGTATAAAGGGGACACGAGTTCATTACATGTAAACCTCAATAAACAAATTTGTTGTAGTGGCTTGTTGTTCAGCTGATAATGATTGAAATGACAACTGCTACTTAATCAACATTAAATATTTTTGAGGGGAATTGACTAAAATCATCGGTGGAATAGGCTCGTGGAAAACTTTTTCCTCTCTTAGTCAAGGATTGTTGTGAAAAAAACAATCTTGTTACCTGCAGCTGGGATCCCTGTTCGCCAGATTTTCCCGCCCTATGGATCACGCGACCTTCGTGACACGGAATGTTTTGTGTAATGGCGGTCGTTTGGTTGTTTTGTTATCGATACGTACATTTTGGTCCGTACATAAAAATCTATTTGGGTGGCTTTAAATGGAGATGTATTGGAGTCAGATATCATTTTCCTTTTAATCAAAATCTAAACTCGTAAACAGTTACAGAACTCTTAACAAAAGGCCAAAAAGGGTGTTTGAACAAAATAGGTACCTCGATTAGCCCTTCTACCGAAGATAAATTTCTGAGGTTTGTCCGCGGTCAGGACAGCGACATGGAGGCCGAAAGATGTGCTGAATACCGGATGGACCGTGGTCTTACACACAACAAACTCTCTCTTTTTAGAGTCTTCTAGGTTCCTCCAGATCTCCCGAACGGCTCTATGATGACAGTAGGTTGATTGTCCAAACATCAGTTGTATTTCTTGTCTTTCTTCTTCCTCCTCCTGAGAGGTAATCAATGTTTTGAGGGCAATGGAAGGATTGTCTGCGATCTTTTTGTCGATAGCATCCTAGACGCACACAAAGAAAATCATTCAAGAGCAGCGACAGATCCAGAGAAAAGGTCCGGCATTCCCCTACATAAGGGTTTTTTTAACCATCTAACGAATCCAAAATTCTTGAAACGACAGATTGCATGTTAATTTTACAATATAAAGTATCTTTAAATGCTAGACTATCAACTTGTCTTGTAATATTGCTTAGCTTATCTATAAGAACAACAAATTCCAGTGTATATTGAGGCACAGCGTTTGGAAACCACTTATCAAAATTCCCTGGACCCTTCCCTGAGGAGAAATCTCTATAAGAAGTCTAATTTAACACCTTATCAACTGCAAGAACACTAGGACAAATCAAGCGTCTGTTCTGTTCTCTGTACATTTTTACGGTGACGAAAGGGAGAATTTTTTAACGATGCGGAACTCCTTTACTCTCGTAACCTTAATGTTTGAGTCAGTAGTGATAATATAAGGAAATATTAGAATATTAGGTGCTGGCCTGAATGTTCTAATAAAAAAAGGTTCTTATGAAAAAAAGAGAAGCTAATTTATTTTGAGGCACTCGTCGTTGTAATTTCCATTGTCTGAAGCTGTTTTTCTTCGTCGTCCTATCTTGTATGTACAAAAAACCATATGTGAATGCAAAATCTTGTCTTCATGTATGTACCTGCCTAAATCTTCCGTAGTGCTCCCTATACTTCCGTTCATAAACCCACTCCTTTGGCACGTCGTTGTACTCCTTATTGCCAACCTCTACAGGGCACAACAGACTTTCAGGGGGGAATCCCTGGGGACGAACTGCTGTCTTAAAATATCCTTCACTGGACTGTTGGTTTAAGAGGACAAATCAATCAAGACATACATAGGATAAGACAGAGAAGCTTAGTGTAAGCAGCCTACGAGCTGACCTCCATTATTAGCGTGGAGGCAAGAGCGTCTCAACTCCCACGGGAAAGCTTCAGGCATCGAGCAAAGCGCGCTGTCTGCAAATGGGTCTGGCACCAATAAAATTAGTTTCAGACCCCTCACAGACCTCTCGCTGGCGAAGAAACACTCTTGCCGCAGCGCCAATAATCCCACGCAAATATTACTAAGCCATCAAAAACTGCGGAAATGGCAGTGCTGCTGTGCAAAAGATCACAAGTTCGTCGCTGGGAAAATCGACTTTGTCCGGAGTTTACAATATTTCATGTGATACGCCAAGGCCAGAGTTTGAAAGTACCAACCCACAACAATGTTACTGGGCAAAAGACAACAAATTCGTCCAAAGGAAAATCAACTTTATCCAGCGTTTACAAAATTTCAGGTGATACACCAACAAGGCCAGAGTTTGAAAGTCCCAACCCATCACTTTTTACGAAGTTGTGAGGATATCATGTACTATAGGCATGCCATGCATGCAAGAGTTTTTTATTGGGGGTGGGTAGATTACTTGAAACATTGTAAGTTATGTCTACATTTTTACAGAAGGAAAGAAGAGTATTAACACGGAAAAGAACGAAAATATCGAATTAACTCACACACAGGTATTTTGTGGTAGATTGTGTGTGTTGTGCGAATAACTGTGACCAAAAATAAACTGTATTGGTGCCACAGATACCTGTTAGTACAAAATGCAGACTGCAGACCGGATACTAGGTACTAGGTACAAAATGTAGACTGAGAATCTAAAGGATTTTTTCGTCTGGTATGCGATAACATGTCATCTTACAACTTTCCCAGCATCACGCAATCGCTTTTCCGCGATCAGCTTTCACGATTATTTTCATTATTGTGGTTGGAATATTCCTGGCCCATTTCTTGATCAAAATTGATCTTAATATAATTTCAAGCCTTCCTGTTGTCTTCTCACTTTGCACGCGAGTTGGTTGGTGTGATGTCTGTACAGATTTTACCAACGTAATAAAAATAGATGTAGATGTAGAAGTAAATGAGATGTTACTATTGAATATTCAACAGGCGCAACATTCGAGAAATATTTGACAGCTTTGCACATGGTCCGCACTAACATCTTTTTAAGCGGTATGTGTTTATTTTGTCGAAAAAATGCGGACCGAGACCAAAACTGTTCCTTCGACTCGATACATTTTCGACGTTAGTCGATCACATCATATTTACTTACCTCCGTAAATCATTCATTCCAGATAACAAAATCAAATAAACATGCAAATCTGAATTCGTCTTTGGCCAAACACAAACGACTCCACAAGATCACTTTCTCCAGACATCGAAAACATATACTAAATCGTCCATTGTTAATTTTAATCGGACATTCATCTGGAGAAAGCACCGAGCAAACCAATCCAGAAAAATATAATCAACACACTCAACAAATAATGAATCTTGCAACACAGCTTGCCGTTAAAGAACTGCTCAAATCAAAATATTTGGTGCAATTCATCAACACCTCAAGCAATATTTGATTCATAATTTTTGCTCTCACTCTCGTCGGGAAGGAACAATAACCATGATCGTGCTACAGTGCACAGAGCTCCATTTTCTTTCGAGCAACTTTCCACCGTTTTCACAGCATGAGTAACAAGTTTATTACAAGTAATCTGATATCTTTCATCTGTCCAGTAGTATCGCATTTCTCATAAAGCGCGGTAAAATACACGTTAAAGATACAGAAAAGCTAGCATTCCTCATTCTAAAAGACGATTCCAATTTGCCAACCGTTCTCTCCGAATCCCCCATTACTTCGTTGAAAGTTGAACACCTCTCAAACCACAGAACAAAAACGACGCTCTGATTGGTGCGAGATACATACCCTAGTGCGACGATCTGATTGGTGCGAGATACATCCCTAAATGATCTGATTGGTACGAGCAACATACCACTCCCTGTACGCTAACATAGATATTATTAAAAAGAAAACAAAACAAAAACTTAAAAAAAGTAGGGCTCAGCTTATAGGCATCGAAACAAATAATACAACACCTGCCCGCACTAATTACCACTACTCCATTACCACTAATTACTACCGCGGCATTACCTCGTCCACCAAGCTCTCAGCAACGAAGACATAAGTATTCTGGAGGAACCCACAGGAAAAGAACTCAGCGCTTTTGGCTTCGGTTTGGTACGGGTTAACATCACCTTCAAGAAAAAAATCTGGTAAGCCATGTGTTAAAGATTAAAGATTTTACATTTAGATGATGAAAGTGATGTTTGCATACGATAAAATAAAAATAAGAACAAAAAAACTATTGCAAAATGACAAAGAAATGGATAAAAAACGCTTAAATCTTTTGAGCAGGGCAGAATAACTTTTCTAATGCAGTAAATGACGAATCAAAGGAGATATTCAAACATTCCGATTGGCACTAAACACGATTGCAAATTTAAAAGTTGGTTGGGAATTCCAATAGCTCGTGTATAAAGTGCTTGTTCTGTTTAATCATGGCACGCAGTTCCTGGTCAAGAAAATTTTAGTTTGGCTTATTTTGACTTGTTTTTCCCTTTGCCGTTGGACTTGAAACGACGAAATTTACCAGTGTATTGACTTGACTAGAACAATTCTGGTCCCACAAGTTTTAACTGCGTAAAGAGAGTGAAGAAGTTTTCGTTGAGAAGTATATCTATAAGCAACAATTGCCAGTGAGAGTAAATGAAAGTAAATTTAACTTTTGGAAACTTTACCACTAAAATACTCCGAAACCAGTTCGTCTGCTGTTGGTCTCATCTCAGGATTTTCCATACGACAGTCCTCGATAACTTTTCTCAATAAACCACCCAGTTCTTCGGGCAACTCCACTCTGTCCTCCTTCTTTATCAAGTTGTTTTGAATACCTAATACACTAACAGAGTTTGTACCCTGCCACGGTGTATTTCCTGTTAACGTATAGGCTACTACTTGTCCATACGAGTAGATGTCAGCGCGTAGATAAAAAAGTTCGTCACCAAAGCCTGTGTGCTCTTCTTCCACGGTTTCATTTTCTGTTGTGTCTGTCAGTTCTGGGTGAAGAAAGTAGCAGTTTGTTTGTAATGCTAACGTACTCATTCTGGATGAAAAACCATTCATTACTGGTAATATTTCACCTGCTGTTTGGAGGAAATTAAGTCATGCAGCGTAGGTTTTCACTTAAGTGAAGGAGGGGGTGCATTGGGGTCTATTAGAAACCGCAAAACCGTAGAAAAAAAATCATTCAAAAGCGCAAAAGCGCTAAAGAATGGGATCAAAACCGCAAACTGCTTGCGAAACCGTCAAAACTGATAAATTTTTACATACCAGTTATCAAAACTCTTATCGATCCAATACAGTGGTGATAAGTGGAACGTACAGAGGTTTTGCGGCATTCAAGATCAGTGGTGGTGCATATTTGCCGCTCAGATCGAAGGGAAACCGGAACCCAAATAGGAAAAAACCCGAAAACCACATCGGATACCAAATCCAAAAACCCATTGGTGTTTTTTACGAATAACGAAAACGGAAAACTGCTAACTGCAATGAACACCAAAACCGAAAAAATTCTGATCAAGGGTCAATGTTACCTTCTTTATTATACTCATTAGCTGTGATGTAACCATCCCACACATCAGGTGCTGTCCAACGTGCATGGAACAAAGACAGATCATTGCCACTCCTCTCAATTGTTCTTGATAAGCCAAAGTCTGCTAGTTTTACCCGCAAGCTTCTGATTTCCAACTTGATTAATTTATGATTTAAAAATAAGGGAATAATCAGGATGATATTTATTGAATGTTTTCTAGAGATACTGACTGAGTTGTTTCACAGCTTAAAGATTGGACGATGTAGCATCAAAGTTTTTCAATATTTTTTCAACTCGTCTATTTTTTATCTTCTGTTTTATATTCAAATTTATTCAATGTTTTCCTTTCCTGGCAAACAGGTCTCAAAAAGGTAATAAAATTGCGGTAAGAGTGATTCTATAAACCCTTGAGTGTTTGCCGTGCAGCATATATCCAAATAATTTGAGAAAAAAATTGACTCGCTGATTTTTTTTCTTTATTTCATTTTGATCTATTTTAACTAATTAATTAATCAATCATTTCTTTTCCCTTTTTGCATTTTTTCATTAAGCTACAGTCTGTCTTCTTTTTTTCTGACTGAAGTCTAAAACAGATGATTTCTACAGGAATCTCACCAGTATATTGTCAGGTTTTAAATCCCTGTGGCTTATTGGAGGATTCAAACTGTGTAGGTACATCAAGCCATTGGCCATTCCTCTACCAATGGTCCACACTTGACTTTTAGGAAGTCCCCTAGATTCTGGAGTTTTGTGATCCTCGACAAATCTGTAGAGGTTCTTAGGAATGTACTCCATCACCAGAAAAGGGCATCCTGCTTTAAGGGTGAATTTCTCATGTGTACTAACATTCTCAAATGAGACATCACGCTCCAAAATGTTCATTCCTCTGAATGCAATAATGTTATCATGCCGAAAATCTCTGTGTATCAAAAATTTAAAATAATTTTAAAGAAGCTAGTAAGAATGAATTTCCAAAGAGGGGTTTTAACTTTGAGTAAAATGTAACTGAGAGTAACTAGAATAATTTGATATTCAGTAGAATAATTAATAATGGTAATAGGACTAAGTGCAGTCCAATTCGGTTTGTAATCATATGAGTGATAAACAAGATCGGACGACCAAGAAGTGTGATTTGTTTATTATGAGTGTAGTGATTACAGACAGAATTGGACGACATGAAGTCCTATTACCAATTAATCAAAACTATGACAAAATTTGAGAAAGAAACTAGACATCGGAGATATGTTTTCATATGTGAGACAACAACACATATTCATGACGCGTTCCGTCCACTTACACAGGCATGACCTGTTAACTGTCCCTTCAACTGTCCTTTTACACTGTCCAATTACAAGTATGATGTGTACACTGTCCCATAAGTGCTCAAATCAGGTTAGTGATAATCAATCACGTTCTCGAGAATTTGGTTATAACTAATCACATTCACGAGAATTTTGCTATAGTTTTGATTAAAAGCAGAAGAGGAGAAGTGGAGAACGAATGGTTCGAGCACTGAAGTCCAGGTCGAAAGATCCAAATTCAAGACCTGGCTGGGTCAATATGTTGTGCTCTTTGGCAAAGAGAATGTTGTGCTCCAAACAAAGTATACAGGTAAATAGGTACCAGGGTGTTGCTAAGGAAGTCTGGTGAAATGCTAAGGGGAGAGGGGGGGGGGGGTAACCTTGCAATGGATTTCCATCCCATTCAGGGAAAGTGGTAACACTCCTAGTTGCTTCATGTTGATTTGGAAATCAGGACAAGCTTCAGCTGGGTGAGCCACTTGGCTCAAGAACAGACTAAAAGCATAAGAAAGACTGAAATAAATTTACTTGGCAAATAAAATCACTCAACTTCAACAAAAGGTTTGAAGAGAGGTTACCAATATTTTAAGCTAATGACTGTAACATTAAACTTTATCTATAAGAAGGGCGGAAATGAGGATGTTTAAAAGTTCACCTTAATAGATTTCCTTCTGTAAGCAGAGATCTTGTTTCTTTAAGATTTTTTAACACTTTGACAGCAACATCATTCCCTTTAAGCTTAGTTTTATAAACACTTGAAAATCCGCCTTCCCCTAGCGGCTCCCATGCTGCTAGTTCATCCTGGCTTACTTTCCCAACAGTCCTAAAACCAGATGACTCTGCAAGGAAAGTTGTGTTCAAAAGCCCATTCTGTTTATATATTAAATATTGATTTGCAGTCATAAATATTGTAAATGATCCCTTTACGCCCTAACATTCGTGTGCATTTTTCTATACTGTTCTCCGAACATTTCCTTCCTCTTCTGCCTGTCTCATACACTGAATTCATCACCTTTGTTTGATTCTTCTGTTGCTACTTGCCGGCTCGCTTCAGTTCCAAAATTTCACTTTCAATTATCGGAAAAAAGCTAAAAAGAAGTCCCGGCAAAGGTCGAACATAGTACAATTGGTAGATGGCGTGACAGCTGTAGCTCAGCTCTATGCTCTATACTCTCATAGAGCACGCTCTTTCAACCGATGACAGCGCGCGTTATATCCGAACTTTATTATAAACCCTAAGAGTGACTAGCATCTAATTTCTCCCTACAACATCACCCCTGAATCACATTAATCACATACCAGGAAGCTTTTAATCAGTAAACAAATTCTCCTTGTCAGCACCTTAGGAAATGTATAAAGAGCAGTATGGAGAATATGTATAATGACATCAGGGGAAAAGGTTAAACCGCCAAGCCTGCCACAAGTCCTCTGTAGCTCAGTGGTAGGCATCCAAAATATGTGTACTAATCCTATCAGAGCACTCTGAGTTCTTTTTCTCCTAGTACGCTTGTGTCATTCACTGAAAACATCAACTTTAATTTCATTTAAGATGTTGACAAGGAGAAATTTGTTTAAGAATCAAGAGCTTCTGCAGTTGGTGATAATTTCCTTTGTTCTTGTGACCCAACTGTTTGTTTCAGGGGTGATATTGTAAGGAGAAATTAGATGCTGGTCACTATTTGGGGTCAATTGGTTGAGGTTACTTCCCACCTTCAGAGGCCGAAAAACTCGATGTTTATTTTATTTGACAAAACTGAATTCAAACATTCAAACTATCGTTTCCATAAAAAAAAACATTTCTGAAATCTTTAAAAGCACACGAGTTATCTGGAGAAACGTATTTTTAAATAGAAGTTAATATATCAGGAAGGTGTCGTAATCTCTGGCCTGAGCGAATCCCCGGCTCGATTTTCATGTTACTTCCACTTCCAGCGCGCACACGTTACAAAATTTACTCAAGAAGTGGGGAAAAAACACTCGACTACGTCTCGTGTTTTTCCCTACACTTCTTTCGTGCTCTAGCCGCTTCCTTCGTGCTTTATAACAGAACAGAGCACAGTCAAGGCTTCTCTATTTGTTAAATAGGGCTGTGCAGAAATTTTACCGTACCAGCCTTGAAAAAAAAACATTAAGAATCGCCTCGAATTTAATTTTCGTTGTCTTGCTACTTGGCTCATTTTGCGGTTTTTCCATTTTTGTCGCGGGTTTTTCTTTACTTTTGGCAACTTTGCTCATTATTGTGTCGCCCTCCTCAACGCTCCAAGCGATCGAAATTAAAAAAAGTGTCTGCAATGGGTTACTTTTCCCCGGGCAATCTTGATCCATCGTCATGACGCCAGGAGGTTCCGTGGTCCTGTACACGGCTTTCAAAAATGGCGGTACAGTACGCTCGATCGCTGGGGGACTGGAGACGAGAAACATGGAAGTGAGGCATCAGAGGCCAAACAACAGCGTTCTCTTCAGCGTGGCGGTAATTGTTACTGTTTTTAGTGTCTTTTTATCTTCTTTACATCGTGAAAAAATGACATCTAATATCAGCTTAAACGAAGATGACATTCCTGGTGCCTCACTTAAAGGTTGAAATGCTACAGAATTAAAAAACGATGAACTAAAATTTTGGTTGAAGTGTCGAGGCGACTCTGGAAAAGGACTTAAAACAAAAGTAGAACTCGTGAAAAGGTAAGATACACGAAGAGCTCGATTAGTGAAATAGTACGCCTGCCTCCTAAATATCAAGTTTTAGCTTCACTCTTTAATGTAGTTGATGTAAGTTTAATCAAAACGGTTCAATATTTTTTTACAGAGTCGAAGAATTCATCAAGAATGGTAAAGATAAACAAATCGTGGATCCCGATCCAAATCAACTGTACACGCGAAGAAAACTTTCTTTGACCAAGTCTACTACTAGTAACTTTTCCAGCGAGCGCCAAGTTCGATCGGTAAAATATTCCGAAGAAAACTGGGGTACTTCTCTTGAGAAAATGCCACTGTTTACAAAGGCTGAAATGGACGAGCACATTGTAAATTCTGGTAAAAAAATCCCCAACAAAGACAGCACAAGCGTTCCAACCAACTTGAGGAAAGCACAGACTTTTCTTCAAGATTAATATCTTCACGAAATTATAACAACAAGTGATCAACGAGGGTTCTATTTTAAAGCCAAATGCTCTCACAGTTTTAAAAAGAATGATGCCAATCATGACCTTAAACTTGCAATATGCATTATATCTGGTAAAGTGTTGCTTGCATTTTGTAGTTGTGTCGCTGTAAACTGTAAACTGCTTGGCATTTGGCATCGTACCTCAGTGCAGTCAGTAATAACCCTTGTTGCTGAGTATTTTGCTTTAAAAGCTTCTGGCATGGTGTTGTCAATTACTGTTCTTGAGAGCCATATATTAATCTGAACAAATTTAAGGTACATAAAATTGACCCAGGATATAACAATACGGCTTACTGTTGATAATGAAATATGGAACAGATTACTCAAGTGCTCTTCAGAAAAGCCTTCTCTTAGACGACACATCACTAAGTACAATTGCCTTAAGAGCTCTTGGGCGTCCTTTTTCTGATTTACTGCCGTGTTCGTTGTCGTAAATATCTAGTGAAGGTTCCTCGGTATTTAAAGATGTCCTATACCTAATGTTTTGACCATATTCGCCAGGATCAAGAAAGTCAAACACTGTTTTAAACACCTCAAAGTCAGGAAATCCGGTGTAAAAGCTGATCGACGATGACTTGGAACGAAATCTATCAAAATTGAATAGTTTAGCTTTCAGTGCTTCGTTCTGTTTCATAAGTTTATCAATCTCGGCTTTCAAATCAGCAATCTCTTTTTCCATTATTACATTTAAAGCGTTACATTCTGTTTGAGATCCTTTGTCTTCGAATACTTTGTCTTCAGTCTGAGTTGTCCGTTTGATGGTGGCTGTTCAATCAATTCGAAATTATCTTCATTCTCGCTAACAGCTTCTGAGATATAGTCTAAACCCGTTGCTACTAAATGTCTGAATGGCGGAGGCTTTCGTTTACGAGGAGACGTGCGCCACGAAAATACTGTAGGAACGACTCCAGGTTTGAGATTTATCTTACTTCCACTTAGCGATCTCTGAAAGTCCTCCGTTTTAAAATGCCTCGAGCATACCTTAGTGGATCCACTTATCTGAACGTTTTTCCCTTCGTCTCTCCTTATAGCATGAGTCCATTGTTTTCGTTGAGATTTATCAGTAGGGAAAATAAAATAAGAAATTTTTGACCCTCTTTCGACGTGAAAATTTGTCCTGAAACAATCACCATTTTCCAATCAATCGAAATCTTGAGTTGTTCACATTGTAATTCAGCGTGGATTTTTCAAATTCAAAGCGTTATAAAGGATGTAATAATAAAACTTCCAAACTTTGACAAGTTGATCGCTCTACACGTGAAAGATGTTTGTTTTGATCAGGCCTCTGATGCTTCGTTTCAGTGCACTCGTTACCAGTCTTCAAACTCCGGTCGCACTGTGCCGCCATTTTCGAAAGCCGTGTATTGGTTTGCGGTTTCAGGAGGTCAGCATTAGATTCCATCCACCAAAACCACCTCGGTCGAGAGGGACTGAG